AAATTGGTCTAAAGAGTTTAGACAGTACTTCCCTCGCTGTCGGAAACTTGACGATTGCATGCCTATTGTGTTTTTTTTCTCATTACATTTTTGTAGTGGGAATTTAAAAAAAAATTGCGATGACGTCATCAACGTTCTTGCAAGGACACGTATATCAGTTGGGATAGATGTAAATACTAAGAATAAAATTATTGTATTCCCAAATTTTCGGGAAAATGAATTGGGTCGTTTTGAATATTGATTTGTTATAATCAATAAAATAACGAAACAATTTACTCACGTATACGGCGCCGGTGTGTAATATGAGAGGCAACTGAAAATCGTTTATGTATAAACATTCTTAATTTAAGATGACAAGCGTAACAGCATACGTGAGAGTCAAACAGAGAAACTGTAAACAAAACGACCATCGGTTTTATTGCTTCGACTTCCGCTTATTATATAAAACATTGGGTTTTATTTTAATTTTTGACGGTGGAATTCACAATTGGTTGATTATAAACATGTCTATTCCACATTCGCGGAACCTAGTCAGCGCACAAAACAAATGCACGTCTGTAATGTTAAAGTCGATGTAAATAAGCGTGCTACCCTTATGTTTCAACCGAGTTTTTACTTTAAAAAATTTTGTGTCTACCAAATTGGGTGGTTCCAATGTAATACTATAATAAGTGTTGCCTTTAATTTAATCAATAAAATAAATTGACTTCATTAATTTTTTTGAGCCACCTCTTAAGAAAATCTAAAAAATATGAATGGAATGATAGATAAATCACAAGTACAAACTCATCATATTTTTTGCATTTTAGATAGGATTTATTCAGCAAAATTTAAGGGTGACGTCATCAATTTTTTTAGGAGGGATGAACAAATACATTTTGAACAAAAGTTTAGCATGCTTATAATAACTTTAAAATATCTCCAAGATTTCAAAGCATTCGGTTTTGTAATTCCTGATTAAATCGATAAAATAAATTCACGCATTCATTAATTTTTTTGAGTCACCCTGTATATGCAAATCCAAAAATATGCATGGAATGATAAATCACAAGTACAGACTCATCATATTTTGTACATTTTAGATAGGATTTATTCAGCAAAATTTTGGGGTGACGTCATCAATTTTTTAGGGGGGATGAGCAAATACATTTTGATAAAAAATTTACCATGCTTATAATAACTTTAAAACATCTCCAAGATTTCAAAGCATTCGGTTCTGTAAATCCTGATTAAACCAATAAAATAAATTCATGCATTCATTAATTTTTTTGAGTCACCCTGTATATGCAAATCCAAAAAATATGATTGGAATGATAAATCACAAGTACAGACTCATCATATTTTGTACATTTTACATAGGATTTATTCAGCAAAATTTTGGAGTGACGTCATCAATTTTTTAGGGGGGAAGACCAAATACATTTTGATAAAAAATTTACCATGCTTATGATAACTTTAAAATATCTCCAAGATTTCACAGCATTCGGTTCTGTAATTCCTGATTAAATCAATAAAATAAATTGACGCATTCATTAATTTTTTTGAGTCACCCTGTATATGTAAATCCAAAAGATATGATTGGAATAATAAATCACAAGTACAGACTCATTTTAGATAGGATTTATTCAGCAAAATTTTGGAGTTTCGTCATCAATTTTTAAGGGGGGAAGAGCAAATACATTTTGATAAAAAATTTACCATGCTTATGATAACTTTAAAACATCTCCAAGATTTCAAAGCATTCGGTTCTGTAATTCCTGATTAAATCAATAAAATATATTGACGCATTCATTAATTTTTTTCAGTCACCGTGTATATGCAAATCGAAAAAATTTGAATGGAATGATAAATCACAAGAAGAGACTCACCATATTTTGTACATTTTAGATAGGATTTATTCAGCAAAATTTTGTGGTGACGTCATACATTTTTAGAAGGGACGACCAAATACATTTTAATCAAAAATTTACCATGCTTATGATAATTTTAAAACATCTTCAAGATTTCAAAGTATTCGGTTTTGTAGTTCCTGAGTAAATCAGTAAAATAAATTTTGCGCATTCATTAATTTTTTTGAGTCACCCTGTATATGCAAATCCAAAAAATATGAATGGAGTGATATATCACAAGTACAGACGCATCATATTTTGTACATTTTAGATAGGATTTATTCGGCAAACTTTTGTCATCAAGTTTGTGGAGGGGATAACCAAATATATTTTGACTAAAGATTTATGATGCTCTTTATAGCCTTAAAACATCTGCAACATTTCAAAACATTCGGGTTAGCAGATTAAAATTAAATTGTAAAATGTTGTTTTATAATTTTGATTTTTTTTTCCAAAAATCTGGACGTTTCGGGTAAAAACTGAATTCGGAGTCGTAAACTACATGTGTAGGACTATGTTATTTTATACAATTTAAGACCCATTTATTATGTACAATTTTGAAGTGATGTCATCGCATTAGTGGTGGGGATGATTAGACAAATTTTGGTTAGCGTTTTACCATCTACATGATATTCCTAATATAAGTACAAAATTTCACAACAATCGGTATAGTACTTTCGGAGATTATCTGTCTAATAAAAATCCGGGACGGCAGACAGACGGACAGACGGACAGACGGACAGACGGACGGACAGACGGACAGACAGACGGAAATGGGAGACCTATTTCTTCGTCTTCTAGGGGTCATGAATGATCGAGAAAATGTAAAAGTAGAGAGTCGGCCGACGGACTCGATTACAATACTTCCTTTGCTTACGCTCGGGAAGTAAAAATATAAATGCAATGATAAATTACAAGAATAGACTGATGATATTTTGCACATTTTAGAGGGGATTTATTCAGCAAAATTTTGAGGTGACGTCATCAATTTTTTAGTGGGATCCTTATGATAATTTTAAAATATCTCCAAGATTTCAAAGTACATATTTGATTTTGTAGTTCCTGATTAAATCAATAAAATAAATTTTAGGCATTCACGAATGAAATGATAAATCACAAGTACAGACTCATATTTTCTACAGTTTAGATAGGATTTATTCGGCAAAATTTTGAGCAGACGTCATCAATTTTTGGAGGGTTTTTTTTTTATTTAAATTTATCATGCTTATCATAACCTTAAAACATCCTCTAGATTTCAAAGCACTGTATATTGCAGATTCAAAATTAAATTGCGAAATGTTGTTTTACATTCTTGATTTTTTTTTCCCATAAATCTGGGCGTTTCGGGTAAAAACTCAACACGAAGTCATAAATTACATATGTATTTTATACAATTTAAAAGCCATTTACTATGTAAAATTTTGAAGTGACGTCATCACATTATTAGTGGGGATGATTAGATAAATTTTGGTTAGCATTTTATATGATATTCCAAATATAAATGCAAAATGTGACAGCAATCGGCTTTGTACTTTCGGAGATTATCTGTCTAATAAAAACCCAGGAAGGCAGACAGACGGACAGGCAGACAGATAGACGGATAGACAGACAGACAGACAGACGGAAAAGTGAGACCTATGTCTTCGTACTCTAGAGATCTAAAGATCATGAAAGGTCGAGAAAACGTAAAAGGAGAGATTCGGCCGACGGACTCGATTACAATAAGTCACAATAAATTGAACGCCTCAAACACTCAATAAACCCTTATAGATGTCATAAATTTGGGTCGGATGCCACGTGCCATTCAGTTAGTACAGGGTAGTACTTAAATAAGAGATATGCAGTGCCCAAACATTGTTTTAAACGCGAGATGTATCACCGGTAGGAGCATTTATAAACTTGCTTTGAAATTTTTCTGATTACATCCCTGTTTCGGACGGGTCCACAAGTGGAGAGTATTACAACCATCCTAATCACTTCAATGAGTGGCAGCGACCGCGCCCCAGGCAGCATTCAGTGTAACTTAACGGCTACTTTTTTTTACAATACTTCCTTCGCTTACGCTCGGGAAGTAAAAATTAAGGTCTTGATAGAAAGAAAACTTTGATGGCGTAACTCTCACGTCATCTGTCAAAAATTTGAAAGTTTTAGTCTTAAAGTTTAATCCGTGTAAAACATACATTGATTCATGAGTGCTTCTAGTAATTTCATCCTGAATCTTACATCGAGTGTACATACCTATCTTATTTTTTTAGCCTTTGCAGAAACATTGTATTGTAGTTTTCAAACAATTGGTCGTTTGAGTGAAATTAGACACCTTATACATATACTGCGTTTATTTAATAATGTAAAGTTACTAACAACTCAAAGTCACTTGACATACACCTTGTAAAACTTTTATGACTTAAGCGGCTTAAGCCCTTATAAGTTAAACTGGCTATTGTAAGTTTTATGGATCCGAACCACAAGGTTGTTATACTTATAACGGAGCTGTAAAATTTTGCTAGGTATATGTGATCTGAGTTAAGTTCTACAATAGCCAGTTTGACTTATAAGGGTGCTTTGGGTTAACTCGCTTAAGTCATAAAAGTTTTACAAGGTGTACGTATGTCAAGTGAGTTTAGTATACAAAATTTATTTTGTGTCAAATTCGTATATTTAGACAACCAACTTTAACTCACGCGATATATGTTGTTGCTCATCACCATAAATTTGATAAAAAAACAAAACAAATATGACACTACTGTGTGCTATCTACAAAATTAGTTAAGTATTTAAATGCACTAAAAAATAAACATTCGCAAAGAAGTAAAGCAACTTTTGTTTGAGTCATAAAGCTATTTTCATATTTATGACCATTTTATAAGTCTATAATAACGTGATTCACTCTCACATCACCTCATTCTCTGAAAAAGCAAAAAATAAATGCAAATTACATGCTACACCAAAACAAAGCCAACAAATCAATATTATCTCACACCCATGCGACAACCCCCAGTCGCTCATAAATCTCAATTAATTACAATAGACCCACAAAAGAGAGCACATCCACAACCGACTCCCAAAAAATCATCATATATGACGTAACGTAACCAATTCGCAGCTAACTACAACAATGTGAAAGATTCATCGCTAGACTCGTCACGGTCGAATCGCCTCAAGACACTCCCACCAGCGTGGGGTCACAGCCTCTGTTCACTTGTTCCATAGCCTACCTGGAGTTGACCACATTCGTGTTACCGTTACGCGGCCAACTCGATCGTTTCACACCACACCTAAACAAAATCGTAACAATGCGACGAATTATAGTAGCCGTGGTTTTTTTGTTTTTCAACGTGTGTGCCCAACATGCCAACCACGACCATCATAGGGTAAGTCGCCTTTGTTCCCGACACGTCTATAGTCAGTGCCCAGAAGTCCCTAGATCTGTATTAAAAGCGCAGTGACGTCATGCGAAGAAAGTACCTACTCAGGCGTTTTTCTTTTTTTGACGAGAATGGGTATATTTGCTCCTAGCACCTCTAGCCACCTAGAGGTGACTAGATCAGCGCTAAAATCACGGCTGACGTCACAGAAAAGAAAGTACAAGTCGGGTTTTTCCTTTTTTTTTTGTTTCTTTTTAAGGGTGAATTATTACTATTATTATTATTATTATTCGCAACTAGTTTGGCTGGTTGTGTTCTGTCAGAGATGACTAGATCCGTGCTAAATTCGCGAATGACGTCACGAAGAAGAAAGTAGTGCAATAGTGCATTCGCTTTTTTGAAAAATGTAGAAAAATTGACAAACACTGAGATGGCATTTGGGACGAGGTTACGCGGCTTTAATTGCCCGTAATCACAGCAGTTAGTACAATTACACAATAGCACAAGCTCGTTATTTCTCCACCGATTTCCCTCTATTCACTTATTAATTTTTCTACGACCTTTACTGGATTATCCAGTCGAGTGCCCCACTTCTGGCGAATTTTCCACGACGATAATCAAATTTCCAGCAGGGTTTGCATATTTGATCGAATAATGCAGAACACCCACAGATTGTTTGAGCATTGAACGGTGAATAAACTGAACTTGATTCAAATTTATGCATGTTTAATAACGGTTCGGATTTATGAGATTTTCTTGTTTCAGGTGAACGTGGCAGTTTACTACGAGTCTTTGTGTCCTGATTCGATTAAATTTTTCACACAACAATTATATCCGTCGCTTCAGGGGAATCTTTCGCAGTATGTGAATTTGACGCTTTTGCCGTACGGTAAATCCAAGGTAAGATTTAATGATGGGATTTTATGGGTGTTTTGACAGCAAATGGGCACAAAATGCGTGCTTGCTGTGTCTAGTTTGTTTAATTGGATGTTTATGGAGTTGAGTGAGCGCTGTAATTGAGATGTTGTAGTTATACTGTAGTTTTTTTAAGTTTTACGTTGGTAAATGTTATGTCAGTTACTGTTGACTTGGTTAGACAATTTTGACTTTTTAAACCTTGCAGACACTGACCAAAAGGTGTTCTGAAAACATTGTCATTTTAAGATTTCGGTTTAAAAACCAAACGCTTAACTTTAGTAAAGTTACTATATGCAGGGGTTTCCAAGGTCCAAGGGAACACTGATTTGTTCCGCTTCTATACCATTATTATTAGAACTAAAAACTGGCAAATCTAATTTTCACAGTTTGGGACAAATTTTGCTAGGTTTGACAACCCAAAATAGTTATTAGCAATTTTATGACTCACACAGTGGGATATCTTTTAAATACATCAAATGTATTTGACAACCAGTAGTTGTATCATTTAAGAATGACAGAGAAAACCAAATCATAAAACTAATGAAAAAATTGGTCTAAAGAGTTTAGACAGTACTTCCCTCGCTGTCGGAAACTTGACGACTGCATGCCTATTGTGTTTTTTTTCTCATTACATTTTTGTAGTCGGAATTTAAAAAAAAATTGTGATGACGTCATCAACATTTTTGCAAGGACACTTATATCAGTTGGGATAGATGTAGTGTAATACTAAGAATAAAATTATTATATTCTCAAATTTTCGGGAAAATGAATTGGGTCGTTTTGAATATTGATTTGTAATAATCAAAAATAACGAAACAATACGTATCAGAGGCAACTGAAAATCGTGTATGTATAAACATTCTTAATTTAAGATGACAGGCGTAACAGCATACGTGAGAGTCAAACAGAGAAACTGTAAACAAAACGACCATCGGTTTTATTGCTTCGACTTCCGCTTATTATATAAAACATTGGGTTTTATTTTAATTCTTTACGGTGAAATTCACAATTGGTTGATTATAAACATGTCTATTTCACATTCGCGGAACCAAGTGAACGCATAAAACAAATGCAGGTCTGTAATGTTAAAGTCGATGTAAATAAGCGTGCTACCCTTATGTTTCAACCGAGTTTTTCCTTTAACAAATTTTGTGTCTACCAAATTGGGTTGGTTGGGGTGTAATACTAATAATAAGTGTTGCCTTTAATTTAATCAATAAAATAAATTGACTTCATTAATTTTTTTGAACCACCTCTTAAGAAAATCTAAAAAATTAGAATGGAATGATAAATCACAAGTACAAACTCATCATATTTTTTGCATTTTAGATAGGATTTATTCAGCAAAATTTAAGGGTGACGTCATCAATTTTTTTAGGAGGGATGAACAAATACATTTTGAACAAAAGTTTACCATGCTTATAATAACTTTAAAATATTCCCAAGATTTCAAAGCATTCGGTTTTGTAATTCCTGATTAAATCGATAAAATAAATTCACGCCTTCATTCATTTTTTTGAGTCACCCTGCATATGCAAATCCAAAAATATGAATGGAATGATAAATCACAAGTACAGACTCATCATATTTTGTACATTTTAGATACGATATATTCGGCAAACTTTTGAGCTGACGTCATCAGTTTTTTGTAGAAGATAACCAAATATATTTTGACTAAAAATTTATTATGCTCTTTATAACCTTAAAACATCTGCAAGATTTCAAAGCATTCGGTTTTGTAGTTCCTGATTAAATCAATTAAATAAATTTACGCATTCATTAATTTTTTTGAGTCACCCTGTATTTGCAAATCGAAACAATTTGAATGGAATGATAAATCACAAGAAGAGACTCATCATATTTTGTACATTTTAGATAGGATTTATTCAGCAAAATTTTGTGGTGACGTCATAAATTTTTTAGGGGGGACGACCAAATACGTTTTGATCAAAAAATTACCATGCTTATGATAATTTTAAAATATCTTCAAAATTTCGAAGCATTCGGTTTTGTAGTTCCTGAGTAAATCAGTAAAATAAATTTACGCTTTCATTTATTTTCTTGAATCACCCTGTATATGCAAATCCAAAAAATATGAATGGAGTGATAGATCACAAGTACAGACTGATCATATTTTGTACATTTTAGATATGAGTTATTCGGCAATTTTCGAGCTGACGTCATCAAGTTTTTGGAGGGGATAAGCAAATATATTTTGACTAAACATTTATTATGCTCTTTATAACCTTAAAACATGTGCAAGATGTCAGAGCATTCCGTTTTGTAGTTCCTGATTAAATCAATAAAATATATTTACGCATTCATTAATTTTTTTGAGTCACTCTGTATATGCAAATCCAAAAAATATGAATGGAGTGATAAATGACAAGTACAGGCTCATCATATTTTGTACATTTTAGATATGATTTATTCGGCAAACTTTCGAGCTGACGTCATCAAGTTTTTGGAGGGGATAAGCAAATATATTTTGACAAAACATTTATTATGCTCTTTATGACCTTAAAACATCTGCAAGATTTCAGACCATTCGGTTTTGTAGTTCCTGATTAAATCAATAAAATATATTTACGCATTCATTAATTTTTTTGAGTCACCCTGTATATGCAAATCCAAAAAATATGAATGGAGTGATAGATCACAAGTACAGACTCATCATATTTTGTACATTTTAGATATGATTTATTCCACAAACTTTTGAGCTGACGTCATCAAGTTTTTGGAGGGGATAAGCAAATATTTTTTGACTAAAGATTTATGATGCTCTTTATAGCCTTAAAACATCTGCAACATTTCAAAGCATTCTGGTTAGCAGATTAAAAATTAAATTTCAAAATGTTGTTTTATAATTTTGATTTTTTTTCCAAAAATCTGGACGTTTCGGGTGAAAAGTCGATTCAGAGTTGTAAACTACATGTGTAGGACTATGTTATTTTATACAATTGAAAACCCATTTACTATGTACAATTTTGAAGTGACGTCATCGCATTAGTGGTGGGGATGATTAGACAAATTTTGGTTAGCGTTTTACCATCTACATGATATTCTTAATATAAGTACAAAATTTTACAACAATCGGTCGAGTACTTTCGGAGATTATCTGTCTAATAAAAATCCGAGACGGCAGACGGACAGACAGACGGACGGACAGACGGACAGACGGACAGACAGACAGACGGAAATGGGAGACCTATTTCTTCGTCTTCTAGGGGTCATGAAGGATCGAGAAAACGTAAAAGTAGAGAGTCGGCCGACGGACTCGATTACAATACTTCCTTTGCTTACGCTCGGGAAGTAAAAATTAACATAAGATACCCATTATGAATAAATTAATGATAAAATGAAATTTTTATTACAAGAAAACATTTATTCAAGGATAGACGAATAAATCCACGTATTTGTCAAAATATGACAATAGTTATTGTAATTGTAATGACTTAATGAGTCACACAATTTTGTTGTTACAAACTAGCTCAGAAATACAGATGGAAACATTATTCGAAATCCTAAATTAATCGAAATCCTAAAGTTTTGTGAGCAGCTGATGCCACGAAGACACTGATATAGATACTGAGAATTTGTAGTGAAACATGCCACCCACATTGTCTTGACAAAGAAAGGACAAAATTTGTCCGGAAGTTTAATTTGATAAATTGATTCAGATGATGTGGTTCTAAAAATGTTTGATATTACACATTAGGTCTCTACAACTGAGTCAGAATATTAACTCATCTGCAAACCACACAAGAAACCACATGTGACTTCCAAGTGTGTTAGAGTTTCAGTTTTTCTTTGACCTTTACTTCGTTATCGGTACTAAATGGTTTTTGTGATTTTATCAATGCATTCATATTTTTATAGATTTGCTTATTACAGGGTGACTCAAAAAAGAAATCAGTCAATTTATTTAATTGAATAAATCAAGAATTGCAAAACTGAATCCTTTGAAATCTTGCAGACGTTTTAAAGTCATTGTAACCATGGTAAATTGTTAACGAAAATGAATCTGTTTATTCCCCCCAAAAAAATTGGTGACGTTTTCTCTCAAAATTTTGCGGAATAAATTCTACCCAATATGATGAGATTTTACTTGTGATTCATCATTGCATTAATATTTTTTATTGATCAAATTAAGAACGAGTCACTCTATTTTCCCGAAAATGTGAAAATACAAACGTCTTTATTTAATAAGAATTATATAACTTTTGGAAATTTCATTCAACCCTAAAAAAATTTGTTGGCAATAACAAGACGGACAGTAGTACAATAGCAAGAGATATTTACAACTTAAGGGTGCCCAGTAGCAGACCGAAAAAAGAGCTAAATAGAATTTCATTTTACGGGCGTAATTTCAACTTAAAAAAAAAGATCGACATTTCAGTTGATAGATTATGTCTAAATCTCTGGGGAAGACACAATATTTTTTAAAATAAGTGATTGTTTAGTGTTTAATTAATCGTTCATTCTTCGAAGGAAATTGCATTTTTAGACGAGGAGAGAGCATTTTTCGCTTCAACTTTTATATCAGTGCAAAGACAACATTGAGCTCTAAGGGGGAGACCCGGTCATTTTTATTTAAAATTTATATTTATCAAAATATTTGCTTTTTAAAAAAATACTGTATAATGAAAATAAAGTGAAACTAGGCAACCCTATTTACAAAGGTCCGTTTCAATAAATGGCCGAGTTTTACAGAGCAGGGAGCCTTGCCGACCGACCCTTACAAGTAATCAGGGGGTCGATTCTCGAACTCGTTCGCAAAGATGCGAGTACGAATAGATGCGCATGCCAAGATGCTATTCGAAACGAAAATCCGTCGTCTTGAACGAGATCCAATGCGAATAGCAACACGATGCGCATACGAAGGCCGCTGTTCGAGTGGCGATATGGCAACAGCGGAAAAATACAGAGGAAATTTAAATGCAATGGTTGGCAGAACTCATGCTGTGTCGGTTTGAATCCAA